TATTGTCGTCTTTTGAGGCATCTTAACAGTCGTTTTTTCAGGTGCCTCGTCTTTTTAGGCGTCTCAATAGTTGCCTTATAAGACGCTCCAGTATTCATCTTCTGAGGTGCCTCAATAGTCGTCTTTCAAGGCTTCTCAAAAGTCCGTCGTCTTTTGTCGCGCCTCAAAAGAGATAGCATGGCTTATAACAGGCTTATTGATCTACGAGGTTGGTGAGAGCAAGAGATGGCGTGGTTTGCAGAAGGCTTACAGCTCTACGAGGTTGGTGAGAGCAAGAGATGGCGTGGTTTGCAGAAGGCTTACAGCTCTACGAGGTTGGTGAGAGCAGAGACAGTGCTGGGGATGGTGTTGCCCGTGCGGTTGTTGCTTCTCAAGTTGCTGGTTGTGGGTGAGGGTGTGAGAAGAATATCTAAGGATGTGGGAGGATTGGGAGGGGCATACTTATGCAGGGGGTCTACATGGCAGGTAATGACAGCCATGCTGGGTATGTCTTTTGTATGATGTTGATGGCTATTGTTTTTTTGGGGGGGAGGTGTTGCACACATTTTGCAAGCACTACGGAAAATGCAAAGTACCTTCGCACAACATGTACCATCACATGCGGCGTACTCTTCGGCCCAGCCTGCTACTGACTGGGTTAAAAGGGCATTTTTGTATGGTGGGTAGCAAACCCATTACCCCCCAGGCCGCGCCTGTAGCCCTCCCACACTCAGCTCGGGAAGATCCCAGTGCCCCACCAACGTGTACCATCACATGCAGCATACCATCACATGCAGCGTACCATCACATGCAGCGTACCATCACATGCAGCATACCATCACATGCAGCGTACCATCACATGCAGCGTACCATCACATGCAGCGTACCATCACATGCAGCATACCATCACATGCAGCGTACCATCACATGCAGCGTACCATCACATGCAGCATACCATCACATGCGGCGTACCATCACATGCTTCGTACCATCACATGCTTCGTACCATCACATGCTTCGTACCATCACATGCTTCGTACCATCACATGCAGCGTACCATCACATGCAGCCTTCCACTGTTGTTTGTAGAGATTCTTACAATATCCGTAGGTTTGTTAGGTTCCCAATGCTGTCTGTCAGCGGCCCAATAGCGTTGCCATCCAGAGTCCTGCAGGGGGTGTGGTTGGCACAGAGTGGTGTGTGGTTGGCACAGAGTGGTGTGTGGTTGGCACAGAGTGGTGTGTGGTTGGCACAGAGTGGTGTGTGGTTGGCACAGAGTGGTGTGTGGTTGGCACAGAGTGGTGTGTGGTTGGCACAGAGTGGTGTGTGGTTGGCAAAGACTGGTGTGTGGTCGGCACAGACTGGTGTGTGGTTGACACAAGGTTGTGTGACTGAACGGGTCATTTTCATACAACAGAGGGAGCGTAGAATGCACTTTATTCGGCACATCAAAAGCAGATTGCTTACATCTCAGTGAGATAAGTTTGGATAAAAAGGCAGGGATGGAGCCAGTGAGCTTGTAGTCCCAGATGGACCCAGTAAGTTGCATACAGCTCAGTGGTTGGTGCAAGGGCTCGTAAAAAGCAGATTGCTTACAGCTCTGTAAGGTTGGTGAGTTTGGATAAGGAGTCAGGGATGGAGCCAGTGAGCTTGTAGCTCGCACCATCCCCAGTTATGATCCTGGATCAAAAGAGAAAGAGGAAGCGGAGAACAGTGGCAAGGAGGATCCGGGGGAGAGGGAGGGAGCTGAAAAGGGGAAGGGAGAGAGAGAGCGAGAGAGAGGAAAATCTATCCCTCCGCCGTCCACTAGAAGCTACCACTAAGCTGTTTTCACCCCCGGATCAAGTAATCCTGAGTGTAAGTTTCAGCAACAGCATCCAAGGGCCCATGAGAGTGCCTCACAGGTTTTGGAGGCTTGACATGTTGCCAAAGGAATCGGGAATGCTCCCATTCTCCACTCCACCAATGTTCCTGTGGCGGAAGTGACATGGTGGGTGGGTAGAGCGCACGTGAAAGGGAAGCTGCGATACAACGGCAGCCAGGATGAAAATAGTTATGGAATTCAAAGAGCAACAACCAGAGAACAGAGGAGAGTACAAGTTAGTGCCAAGCATAAAGGAGCAGTGGGAGTAACGCTGTAGTGAGCATAGAAGTGAAGCAACGGGAGAAACACATGCATAAGAGACAGGAACGAAAGATCAAGTTGGACGGAAGATAATTATTAAAAAAACAAACAGAAACTTACAGCCCTTGAAGGTTGACAAGACTTCCCAATCCAGAAGGGAGACTGCCTCCAATACTGAACCAGCTAAGTTCCCTGCCACCAGCACAGACAAGTTGTTGAGGCCCCAATTTATCGCACATTTTCATTTGCAACAACTTCAGGATGAATCCACTTTTGATATTTAGGAAAAGACAAGTTTTTTACGAGACCAAGCTGCCTCTATTACTGATTTTTTTCCCTCTTCCCCGATATTACATCCCCTCTCTCTGTTGCTGCCTCTCGTGCTCTCCCTCTCAACCCTTCTCATCCTCTCTCCTCTCTCTCCCTCTCATCCTCGCCCCCTCTGAGGCCCTTTCATCCTCTCCTCCTCTGAGGCCCTCTCATCCTTTCTCCCTCTGACCCTTCTTATCACATCTCCCTCTGAACTTCTATCATCACCTCTCCCTGCCACCCCCTCTCATCCTCTCTCCTTATCACCCCCTCTCATCATCTCTCCCTCCTCACCTCCTCTGATCTTCTCTCCCTCTCACCCCCTATCATTCTGTCTCCCCCTCACCCACTCTCATCATCCTCCTTACAGTTTTGTGAGCCGAGATAAGCCACTGATGGCATTCGGAATGGTGGAGAAGTGTGTGTAAAGTGTTGTGGGCCTGTGGGAGTCAAGGAATAGGAGACGATACGGAGTGAGGGAAGCGGGGGGCCAAGGGAGAGAAAGGACGAATAGGACCCTTCATCCTTCAAACGACTGAAGGAGCCCGCTTGTCAAAAATGCCACAGAGTAATCGTGGTCGATGTTCTTCAGATGCTCTTAGACGCAGACTGAATCTTTTCAAGTTTGATCAAGGCATTGCTCTTAGTGGTGCACTGCTGAAATGGGAATGTCAAAACACAGACACTCAGGCACAGGCACATACACAGGCACACACACACACACACAAAATAAAAAAACGCCTTTTCTAACAAAATGCTTTTGCAATCTACGCAATACATAAACACCTCCAGTGGAGGAAGTGCAGGTACTGGAAGGGGACGAGCAGTTTTGCACAAAAGAACATGATGTTTTTTTCTATTTTGTTTTATTACTAGTATTTTGTACATCAGTAAGCTACGAATACATACTCTATGGAGATGATGTATCCGTCCGCATCGCACCCCTTGAAGACCTGATACTCCTGGCTTGACGAGCAGTCCCTGTCCAGAACCAGGCCCATGCCCCACGCCTCCTCCAGTGCCTTCAACGCCGGGACTTTTTGAGCGGGTTTTGTAAAGGCAAGGCAGTGGGGCAGTGGGGGGCAGGGCAGGGCTGCCTGAAGAATGTCATGTGTTTGCATGCGTTGAGAGAAACGCGGAGGAGCGGTGCGACGGCTGAGGATCAGCCCACTTAACAAAAAGGTGCAGTAAATTTGATGAAAAGGTGATACAAAAAGGGGAAATACAGGTGCAGCAGGGGAACGGCCACAGAAGGAGACAAAACAATGTCTAACTCGAAAAAACAAAAGACGATTTTGAGACTCCATATTTTCAAGAAGAATTCAATACATTATTCAAAATCCCGTCCTCTAAAGCAAGCTCACTCTGTGACGGGTCTATGAACGGCAGCGCTGTTACAAGTGGCCCGGCTTGGAGCAGGAGAGAGAGGAGAAGGAGACGAATCGTTTTTGACATGGCCATCATCGCAGTTGTGTTCACGTGAACGAAATTCGGTGCAGTAGTAGAAGAGATATCTATAAGGGGCGTTCCTGTATTTGTGAGCTATGCTGTAGGTGATGACCTAGAAAATCCTGAAGGCGAGGGTGATTAGAATAAGGAATATTACTACTGCGTTGAATATTTCAAGAAACGGCTGAGCTTGAAAATCCGAAGGTGGAAATTATAGCCAAACCAAGATTTCAAGAAAGGGGTGGAGGAAGGGGAGGGATATGAGAAGCTTATGCGCGCCTCGTAGTGTTGGCAGTGGCCATACGATATTCCGCAAGGTCATGAGGCTATTGCAAAGTCTGCGACACGAAGCAATGATTTCGCGTCAGCATAAACCGAATTGATGATGTGGCGTTGCACAATTCCTGTTTTGTGTCTGCTTTGCCATGCTGGGCTGGGTGGGTGTCGAAGACTCTTGGTCAACGCACTGTAGCCATCCTCAATCTGGTCTTGTCAGTCTGGTACCAGTCAACACGAGCTCACATTCTGCCACATCATCCCACATTCATATTCTTGTAGGTTCCCTCCCTACCGAGGATAAGTGTACACCTAGAGACCTCTCACCGATAGGTAAGCCCGAGTGTGGTACAGTTGCGCCTGTCGATTATGTGAAAATAATGAAACGGATGTAGAGCAGTTTTCCTCGCAAAACGGATCACGCCCAAAAGCGCACGAAATGTACATACGACAGCCTACGCCTCCACGTCACGACGCGCGATCTGAACTTCGCTTTCCAGTAGAACTGCTTTGACGATACCAGCCTGGCAGTTGTTGCACCTCCCCGCCACATTTCTCGCCAACAAGGCATCGCTGGATCTTTCTCTAGCAGGAAATCCCACGGCCTTCCAATCTCTGAGGCGCCAATCTACAGTGCTTCCAAGGACAATCCTGGGATTCCACTTTCATTTCCACCTCGTCTACTGCCAGGATCCGTCGTCAGGAGAACTAGTACCGTCGGTTTTACCTTTCAAGTACCTTCTCTCAATACTTCAGCTCATCTCATCGCCAGCATTTTCAATTAGCATTTAGTTGGAAGTGGCGTTTTGCATTTCGCAACCCATTCGTTCGTAATCTCGCATCGACGGTCCGCGTCGTCGTCATGGAGCTCACGCAGATCGCACACTCCGCGCAGTCGCTGGGCCTACCGGGTCTCCTCGTCGCACTCGTGCTCATCATGGTCGTCGCGTCGTGGCTTGGCGCGTCGCAAGGTGAGAATCGAACCCCGCAGGGATAGCTACAAGCTTCGCAATGCGAGGGAGGAATGTCGCAAGCTGCGAAATGGGAGGTCGCAAGCTGTGAAAACGAATGAGAGGCGCAAAGCGCGAACTGGGAGGTCGCTTAAAAACGAATGTCGCAGGGTGTGTCATGGTGACGAACGCTCGTCGCGGTTGGAGAACGGGCTGTGCGCAATGTGCACTGATCTGCCCACAGCAGTTTGTTATGCAGGAAGTAGTTGGGGACATACAGCTGTTTGTAGCAGTGCGCTAAGTAACGCGGATGACATGCACCTGCTAGGCAGCTATCTTGCGAGAGTTGAAAGGGCGGAGTAGGTGGTGCAATGCACACACAGCATCGCGTCGTCACTAGGACACCGCGTTACAGCAGTCCCAACAGAGCATAACAGCACTGCCACACAGCATTACGTCACTCGAACAGGATCAAACAGCAGCACAGCACTACGACACAGCAGCAGGCCACTCCAATGCAGTGATTCTAACTCTAACCAGGCCAGCACAGCAATGCTGCCTGTGCACAACCTACTCTAACACACCACCATTCCCCACTCCTCTTTCTAGGATTGTTGTCTTCACACCCACTCCTCTTGCTAGGATTGTTGTCTTCACACCCACTCCTCTTTCTAGGATTGTTGTCTTCACACCCACTCCTCTTTCTAGGATTGTTGTCTTCACACCCACTCCTCTTTCTAGGATTGTTGTCTTCACACCCACTCCTCTTTCTAGGATTGTTGTCTTCACACCCACTCCTCTTTCTAGGATTGTTGTCTTCACACCCACTCCTCTTTCTAGGATTGTTGTCTTCACACCCACTCCTCTTTCTAGGATTGTTGTCTTCACACCCACTCCTCTTTCTAGGATTGTTGTCTTCACACCCACTCCTCTTTCTAGGATTGTTGTCTTCACACCCACTCCTCTTTCTAGGATTGTTGTCTTCACACCCACTCCTCTTTCTAGGATTGTTGTCTTCACACCCACTCCTCTTTCTAGGATTGTTGTCTTCACACCCACTCCTCTTTCTAGGATTGTTGTCTTCACACCCACTCCTCTTTCTAGGACTGTTGTCTTCACACCCACTCCTCTTTCTAGGATTGTTGTCTTCACACCCACTCCTCTTTCTAGGATTGTTGTCTTCACACCCACTCCTCTTTCTAGGATTGTTGTCTTCACACCCACTCCTCTTTCTAGGATTGTTGTCTTCACACCCACTCCTCTTTCTAGGATTGTTGTCTTCACACCCACTCCTCTTTCTAGGATTGTTGTCTTCACACCCACTCCTCTTTCTAGGATTGTTGTCTTCACACCCACTCCTCTTTCTAGGATTGTTGTCTTCACACCCACTCCTCTTTCTAGGATTGTTGTCTTCACACCCACTCCTCTTTCTAGGATTGTTGTCTTCACACCCACTCCTCTTTCTAGGATTGTTGTCTTCACACCCACTCCTCTTTCTAGGATTGTTGTCTTCACACCCACTCCTCTTTCTAGGATTGTTGTCTTCACACCCACTCCTCTTTCTAGGATTGTTGTCTTCACACCCACTCCTCTTTCTAGGATTGTTGTCTTCACACCCACTCCTCTTTCTAGGATTGTTGTCTTCACACCCACTCCTCTTTCTAGGATTGTTGTCTTCACACCCACTCCTCTTTCTAGGATTGTTGTCTTCACACCCACTCCTCTTTCTAGGATTGTTGTCTTCACACCCACTCCTCTTTCTAGGATTGTTGTCTTCACACCCACTCCTCTTTCTAGGATTGTTGTCTTCACACCCACTCCTCTTTCTAGGATTGTTGTCTTCACACCCACTCCTCTTTCTAGGATTGTTGTCTTCACACCCACTCCTCTTTCTAGGATTGTTGTCTTCACACCCACTCCTCTTTCTAGGATTGTTGTCTTCACACCCACTCCTCTTTCTAGGATTGGTGTCTTCACACCCACTCCTCTTTCTAGGATTGTTTTCTTCACACCCACTCCTCTTTCTAGGATTGTTGTCTTCACACCCACTCCTCTTTCTAGGATTGTTGTCTTCACACCCACTCCTCTTTCTAGGATTGTTGTCTTCACACCCACTCCTCTTTCTAGGATTGTTGTCTTCACACCCACTCCTCTTTCTAGGATTGTTGTCTTCACACCCACTCCTCTTTCTAGGATTGTTGTCTTCACACCCACTCCTCTTTCTAGGATTGTTGTCTTCACACCCACTCCTCTTTCTATGATTGTTGTCTTCACACCCACTCCTCTTTCTAGGATTGTTGTCTTCACACCCACTCCTCTTTCTAGGATTGTTGTCTTCACACCCACTCCTCTTTCTAGGATTGTTGTCTTCACACCCACTCCTCTTTCTAGGATTGTTGTCTTCACACCCACTCCTCTTTCTAGGATTGTTGTCTTCACACCCACTCCTCTTTCTAGGATTGTTGTCTTCACACCCACTCCTCTTTCTAGGATTGTTGTCTTCACACCCACTCCTCTTTCTAGGATTGTTGTCTTCACACCCACTCCTCTTTCTAGGATTGTTGTCTTCACACCCACTCCTCTTTCTAGGATTGTTGTCTTCACACCCACTCCTCTTTCTAGGATTGTTGTCTTCACACCCACTCCTCTTTCTAGGATTGTTGTCTTCACACCCACTCCTCTTTCTAGGATTGTTGTCTTCACACCCACTCCTCTTTCTAGGATTGTTGTCTTCACACCCACTCCTCTTTCTAGGATTGTTGTCTTCACACCCACTCCTCTTTCTAGGATTGTTGTCTTCACACCCACTCCTCTTTCTATGATTGTTGTCTTCACACCCACTCCTCTTTCTAGGATTGTTGTCTTCACACCCACTCCTCTTTCTAGGATTGTTGTCTTCACACCCACTCCTCTTTCTAGGATTGTTGTCTTCACACCCACTCCTCTTTCTAGGATTGTTGTCTTCACACCCACTCCTCTTTCTAGGATTGTTGTCTTCACACCCACTCCTCTTTCTAGGATTGTTGTCTTCACACCCACTCCTCTTTCTAGGATTGTTGTCTTCACACCCACTCCTCTTTCTAGGATTGTTGTCTTCACACCCACTCCTCTTTCTAGGATTGTTGTCTTCACACCCACTCCTCTTTCTAGGATTGTTGTCTTCACACCCACTCCTCTTTCTATGATTGTTGTCTTCACACCCACTCCTCTTTCTAGGATTGTTGTCTTCACACCCACTCCTCTTTCTAGGATTGTTGTCTTCACACCCACTCCTCTTTCTAGGATTGTTGTCTTCACACCCACTCCTCTTTCTAGGATTGTTGTCTTCACACCCACTCCTCTTTCTAGGATTGTTGTCTTCACACCCACTCCTCTTTCTAGGATTGTTGTCTTCACACCCACTCCTCTTTCTAGGATTGTTGTCTTCACACCCACTCCTCTTTCTAGGATTGTTGTCTTCACACCCACTCCTCTTTCTAGGATTGTTGTCTTCACACCCACTCCTCTTTCTAGGATTGTTGTCTTCACACCCACTCCTCTTTCTAGGATTGTTTTCTTCACACCCACTCCTCTTTCTAGGATTGTTGTCTTCACACCCACTCCTCTTTCTAGGATTGTTGTCTTCACACCCACTCCTCTTTCTAGGATTGTTGTCTTCACACCCACTCCTCTTTCTAGGATTGTTGTCTTCACACCCACTCCTCTTTCTAGGATTGTTGTCTTCACACCCACTCCTCTTTCTAGGATTGTTGTCTTCACACCCACTCCTCTTTCTAGGATTGTTGTCTTCACACCCACTCCTCTTTCTAGGATTGTTGTCTTCACACCCACTCCTCTTTCTAGGATTGTTGTCTTCACACCCACTCCTCTTTCTAGGATTGTTGTCTTCACACCCACTCCTCTTTCTAGGATTGTTGTCTTCACACCCACTCCTCTTTCTAGGATTGTTGTCTTCACACCCACTCCTCTTTCTAGGATTGTTGTCTTCACACCCACTCCTCTTTCTAGGATTGTTGTCTTCACACCCACTCCTCTTTCTAGGATTGTTGTCTTCACACCCACTCCTCTTTCTAGGATTGTTGTCTTCACACCCACTCCTCTTTCTAGGATTGTTGTCTTCACACCCACTCCTCTTTCTAGGATTGTTGTCTTCACACCCACTCCTCTTTCTAGGATTGTTGTCTTCACACCCACTCCTCTTTCTAGGATTGTTGTCTTCACACCCACTCCTCTTTCTAGGATTGTTGTCTTCACACCCACTCCTCTTTCTAGGATTGTTGTCTTCACACCCACTCCTCTTTCTAGGATTGTTGTCTTCACACCCACTCCTCTTTCTAGGATTGTTGTCTTCACACCCACTCCTCTTTCTAGGATTGGTGTCTTCACACCCACTCCTCTTTCTAGGATTGTTTTCTTCACACCCACTCCTCTTTCTAGGATTGTTGTCTTCACACCCACTCCTCTTTCTAGGATTGTTGTCTTCACACCCACTCCTCTTTCTAGGATTGTTGTCTTCACACCCACTCCTCTTTCTAGGATTGTTGTCTTCACACCCACTCCTCTTTCTAGGATTGTTGTCTTCACACCCACTCCTCTTTCTAGGATTGTTGTCTTCACACCCACTCCTCTTTCTAGGATTGTTGTCTTCACACCCACTCCTCTTTCTATGATTGTTGTCTTCACACCCACTCCTCTTTCTAGGATTGTTGTCTTCACACCCACTCCTCTTTCTAGGATTGTTGTCTTCACACCCACTCCTCTTTCTAGGATTGTTGTCTTCACACCCACTCCTCTTTCTAGGATTGTTGTCTTCACACCCACTCCTCTTTCTAGGATTGTTGTCTTCACACCCACTCCTCTTTCTAGGATTGTTGTCTTCACACCCACTCCTCTTTCTAGGATTGTTGTCTTCACACCCACTCCTCTTTCTAGGATTGTTGTCTTCACACCCACTCCTCTTTCTAGGATTGTTGTCTTCACACCCACTCCTCTTTCTAGGATTGTTGTCTTCACACCCACTC